CCCCCCCCCTTTGACGACTTATGAAAGTCATCGAAGTTATGAACCATCTAAACTTACCTCCGTGAGGCCATTGGTACTGCTTCTCCTTCTTTTTCTCCGCTTTGTCATTCTCTTCGTCTTTCTTCGAATCCACGGCAGGAGGTTCGTTTTCCTTTTCTTCGTCGCAGACGAGAATCTGTGAAATGTCCACGACCTTGTAGCAGTTCTTCTTGTCGACCGTTTTTAGTGTTTCAATAATATTTGGAAGGTCCATTAACTGTTAAAAAAAACATTTTATATGAAAAAGCCAAAGTCTCCATGAAACTTCTTTAAAAGTACCTTCGCCTTAAACAAGTAATGATCAACCTTCACCGCCGCGTTTCTTATGTCTGGTTGAAAGCTGATTTGCAACTTATCGCGTAAGGCACCGATACCTTGCCGTACATAGCTGCAGAGTCTTGTAGCATGTTCCTAAGATACAACAGACTTCAAGATTACATCAAATATCAAACACTGAGAGAGAGAAATCGCCTACCAACGGAAGACGAAGGATGAAGTGATTTTCCAGCTCCACCAACTCCTCTGCAAGGTCTGCTTGAGAACGTTTTCCGATAGACATTCGGACAACGTTTTTACAACAAAGTTATGTCACTCCGACGGTCGAAAAATGACTTAACATTTAAATCCATCGGATACGTATCGAAAAATGAGTTGAATCCCATAAAGAACACATGCACAGCGAAGTTTCGGAGACGCCAGGCAATAGAACGGGCTGTATTTTCAACGTGAAGAAAGTCCTGAGCATAATTTCTTTCTTAGTAATCAGCCATAATTTTTCTTCTACTAACAAATATCCGCTAACGACAAACTTCGATTAACGGTTCATACATCGGAAAAAAGCATGGGATAGATTTGCTCGGTTCCGTTGAACCTCAAGCATAACGCATGCAAGATCTCCAGAAAAACCCTAAAACAGCTTTGCTTCGGTTCATTTGCATAGCTCGGTGATAAATTCGAACATTAAGCAAACAGCTGATGCTCGGCGGTTGGAAACACCTTAGTCGAAAAATAATCAGAAAGCAAAATTTAGCAGTTCTTTAACCGTTTCGTAGCTACCTAAATTTTCACTAAATAATCGGTACTGCACTACGAGCAAGGAATCTACTAAATACATTCTAAATCATTATCACATAATTTCATATACTGACTGTCGGAACATCTATAGGATAACGCGGGATACTGTGCCAAAAGTTTGCAATGCGCAGGTTTCATCGTATAAAAAATAGGCATTACTTTCCAATTCACGCGTTACGAATGAATTCAATATTACTCTTGTATTGTTCACTCTCGTGCAACTGTGCATAGCTGAACCTTTCAGAAGATTTTTGAAAAAGCTCACTTTCTTCCAGTACATGCTTTATAAAATAATGCATCGAGAATATAACCAAGTTTTCTTTAAGGTTTCTAGGGCACAAATACACCAAATATATTTCAAAACATTTTCCCAAATGTGCACTGATTTATAGTCTGTCATCATATAGATCAAAGAGAATTACAGTCGGAAGTGCAAGCAGCAGAGAAAACGGTTTTATGTGTCTCGCATGCGCTGGCATGATCGCACTAATAGTTTTGTTTTCTCACATGTTGGGATCATTACTTTGAGCCTTCTGAATAAGCAGAACGTCTCTCGCTACTAATGCTCCCCATCCCCAATATTCGCAGCTTTGCAACCCTTTTTGATACGTCACCGATTCCTGCATCGTAGAATTATATGTTCCATTATGAAAAAAGATGCGCAACCCTGCGCAGTTTCGCTATTCTCTTCATGACTCCAACTGCATTTCCCATCTGAAAAATTACGCTTTCTTTGAGGTCTTTGTAAGTTTTACAGACTATGCCACTTTCTGAGTAAATACTGAGAATGGCATTAAAATAATTCTCTACCTCTTTTCGTCTGCCGAACGCGCTACTTTGTCATATTTTACCCTGTGACATAGAAGAGTTTATGCGTTTCAACCGGACGAAAGTCGATTTTAGATGGCTAATTTCGCAGGAAGCTCTGTTATGACCATATAATGATCACATCCAAAGCAGGCACTAGGTCTGAAGCTAGTCTTGAGTAGCAAAATGCAATTGTGATGGTTGGTGAAGTAGTGGTTCAGCTGAGTATTTAGGTTTCCAGCAAAGGACGTCTAGGTGGTTTGATGAACAAGCTCTTGAAAAAAACGATTCATCGAAAACTCACTTGTTTTTTGCGCAAACGCTTAACCGTCGCTTGCCTCTATCTCCTCCGGTGTCGATACCATAAAGTCTGAGTACAACTGACTATATGATGCGTCCATTCAGCGTCCATCTCAACGTTGAGGTCCTAAGTAAACATTGTGACTGCGTGACGAAACAAAGCCCTAACAGCCCATTGAAAGCAGTCATAAAAATTCGACTTCGGTAAACTTAATTCTACCGTATCATAAAAAGTTTTAACTTCAGTGAAATGCACAAAGATTACGTAGCACAACATATTTTATTAATGCTACATATAAAAGCTCCAATAAACTTAATGCATCATTGAGTAACTCTGAGAATAATAACACTCTAAGCTAGGTTTAAAAATTACAATGCAACTGCAGGATATATTATAAAGGAGAAGGGAATACCGTAATACCGAGAACATGAACTTACTTCAAACTGAAGAAGATGGATGATCGCGTGAGAGACAGGTGATAACGAAGCACCCAGGAAAAAGAACAAAGCCTCGTTTCCGGCCAAGTCAAGGGAAGATAGCAGAAGACCTCCGGGGCTTTACAGCATGCGGCCAAGTAAGGACAGTATCCTCGACTACCCAAGTGTAGCAGCATTATCAAACAAAGACGTTGGCTACAAAGACGGATAAAAATGTCATTAATCGTCCAATCTTGCGAAATTGCTAGCCGTGATAAAGGATACGAGCACTTCTGATTCCGAAGCTTCAGCAACTCTTGCTGCTTCCGCGCTTTCGTTCTGCATTTAAAAAACGATCTTCGTCAATAGATTGTTTGATGTCATGTTCATGCCTCTTTACAAGGGAAGCACCATCCTTCACAGCTTTATTCACTGTTTACAGTGCGACGTCAAGATCACATCCATTTTCGTCTTCCATCGCTGATTCTCCTTTCGGGTCGCGGAGGCCGACGCGTCAGACAGAGCTTCCAACGTTCTCCATCCTGTACCAGAGTGTGAGCTTCGGCAGAACACAACTGGAGTCTAGCATAGACTCCTTCCACTTATTTGCACCAAGGTAATCTTGGCCGTCCCCAGGGCTTTCTGCGATCGGATTCGCAAGAAACAATCGCTTAGCCTTCCATTCTGTGGCATTCCCAACACATGTCCAAACCATCGCAAAGGTTTTTCTCAATCTGGAGAAGCAAAGGCTGTATAACAAGGTTCTTCCGGATGTCAGTATTCCGGAAAATGTCGAGACGCGTAAGGCCAGCGACTCGTCTAAGAAAGCCCATTTCAGCAGCTTTTACCCGGGTTCGAAGCTTTTCAGTGATGGTCCACGATTCATGACCGTAGGTAAGTATGGGGATAAAGATCGACCTGAACACCGAGACCTTAGTTTTCAGACTGAGCTCTGCTTTAGTCACAATGGGTCGTGCCAGTTTACGCAGAACGCCACTGGCTACTCCTATTCACCGGTCGATCTCTTCTTCGAGTTTTCCATCACTAGTAAATACAATTCAGAGGTACTGAACTTCTCCACCTGGTCCCCTGTTACTCCGCCAATTTGACGAGAGCAACGGTAAGAGAATGAGAAAGCTCTAGTCTTTTCGTTTCAGATGCGTTCCCACGCATGCCAGTCACGTTGCACTCGGCTGCGAACCTTTTTAAGGCGCACTGCAGATCAGTTTCAGAAGATGCCAATAAAGCATGGTCGTCTGCAAACAGCAACCTTCTCGTCTTCACATCCCGTACACCGATACACTCATCGACTTGGCTGCTCCTGACTATTCTATCCATATACAACACACACACAGGAGAGGGGACAGCCTTGGCAGGGACCAATGACAACGTTGAAAGGTTCCGCCATTTACTCTGACGCAGTACCGCTATCAGAATACAGCGATTGGATGGCCCTTAGCAGCTGGTCATCTATCCCGTGGGGTTGCAGACATGACCACAGACTACCGCGTAGGATCCGATCATAGGCTTTTTCTAGGTCAACAGAACACAGGTACTCCGGATTGGCGTTCTTCAACGATTTCTCAACAAGCTGGCGCAGGGTGAATATATGGTCAGAGATGCTTCGACCGGGCCGGAAGCTGCACTGCTCTTCCTACATCTTGAGGTCAGCTATTTCGCGGCACCTCCTTTCTAGCACCTTTGCGTAGAATTTACCTGGAAGGCTCAATAACGTAATGCCGCTATAATTGGAGCATTTCTTGTGGTCTCCCTTCTTGAATACGGGTACAATAATTCCAGTTCTCCGGTCCGCTGGTGACAGACACGTGTAAGCCAGCACATGCCTCGTTCCTCTAATGCCTTGAGGATCTCAGGGCAGATTTCATCCATTCCAGCAGCTTTTCCATTTTTCTAGCTTTTCACAGCTTGTATAATTTCATCTACAAAGATATTAATATCTGTTCCCTGCTGCTTTATAGGCAAGTCTTCCTGCGGTTGCTCGGGATTAATGAGTTCTTCAAAGTGCTCTCTCTATCTCCGAAGAATGTCATCATCCTTGGTAAAAAGGTGTGCAGACCTGTCCTTCAAGACTCTGAGACTGCCCTTCTTTTCACCTCGGAGCCGGCGGATAGTCTGCAATAATACTTTGTTTGCCGTTTGGAAATTCGACTCCTATTCCTCACGGAACTTCTCACAGGAATCAGCTTTGTCTTACGCCACTGCTTTCGCTGCCGCTTTGCGTGCCTCGGCATATTGCATACGGGTATAAGGCTCTTTGTATGTTTAAATATTAAACAACCTTTTACGAAAGGCGATCCCAGAGCGAATCCAATTCAGGGATAGTTCACTAACATTTGTAGTATATTAGTTTTCAGGTGATTTCTTAGTGAGTGGTTGCGAATTTAATGCTCTCACAGAAATGAGTTACCCCTCGCAACTTACCAGTCAGCTACAAGGGAAGAAATCGGTGGTTCTAGTAGTCGACACCGCAAGAAGTGTGTCCTTGTAATATGTTGGAATGTTTATTCGTTCTCTGGCGAAAGTAATTTAAATGATGGTTTACCGTAAGGTCTGTCGATGCAAGCTCGATATGCTGGCTCTCACGAAAGCTCGCCTCTGGGGAAGGAGACGTTTCACCTGCGTATGTGTTTCCTCTTATTCCCTCGGTAAACCGCGCTGCAATTTCTATGGAGCAGAAGTGGGAGAGAATTCTGAGCTGTGTCGTGAATGTCAAACAGGTAACACTGAAGTCCATTGGCGTCTATGCCCTGACAGACGTGCAGAACGACAGCGATAAAGACGTTCTCTGTTACTGCTTGCAGTCAGATGTTAGCGCTTCGTCACCTCATGACGTCATAGTCATGAGCGACCTCAACGCGAAGCCGGGGCAACGAATAGAGCACATGGCCAGGCGTACTCAGACGTCACGGAATTGACAGCGTGAATGACAACGTCTGACTC